CACGGAACGCTTTCCCCAGCAGGTAAACCCTGAAGTGCTTCAAGAAGTGAACCAACGCGAACAACTCCCTGCGAGTCGTGCCATAAGATATAACTTTCTCCCATTGTGGTGTTTCCTGCGACAAAACAGCTCCTATAGCTGATTCACTGGCATCCGTAGTGTTGCTGAGCTGTCTACAAAGCCGTTTGAAGCAGAACTTCATGAACGCTGCTCTCAAACTGGATTTGGATGTACAAAGTGTGATATTTCGTTTGGTACACGAATCAATGACACAATTGTCTACCGACCAACAGCTTACTCGTGAAAGCGTTCTTGCAGGTTTTCGGGAATCAGTGCCAAATCATTGTGGAGGTAACGTAATCACAATAGACCGAGAAACAGCCCATCCCTCTACATTAACCATTCCCGACGTCACCAATTCCGAGGTTACTCCTCTCAAATCTGTTGTAACCGGGAAGAGCTTTCGCCAATCGTGGGGTGAGATGAACGAGTCGGGTTTAATGCCCAATGTAGAGGATCGCAACACAGAGCTTTTTCGAAAGAGCTGGCCAGTTGGAATGACGTTGGAATCTGGATTAGTAAGCAGCTCTCCAGCTAAGGAAATGGGGAAAAAACTTACACGACTTCGGGAAGCTGAACGTGAAAAACGTCGTTTGATGGCCGAACTGGAAAAGGAACGCACCTATCGGGATGAAGTGGAGAATGTGGTCGCTGAGCTTCGTAACCAGTTAGATGAGGCACGAAAACGAGCCACGGAAGCCGAGGCTCGTGTAACTCGTCTTTCTCGTGACTTAGCAGTTTTACAAGATCAGGCAGATGAGCTAAATTTGTGTCGTACTGAGTTAGCTGTACGCGAAGATGAAATCGCCAATCTCAGAAAACGTTTAAATTCGTTCCAAGATGTGATGAACCGTACGCGTCAGCTGGAGTTGGAAAATGCCAATTAACATCAAGAATGTGCCGACCACAAGCAAAAGATAGAACAATTGTCTGGTAAACTCAGCGAGATCAAGGATCGCCGAATGGTCTGTACAGAGGTTGAAACTTTGCGTTCGAAGTTGCATGATGTCGAGGCACAATTGGCTCAGCAGTTATTAGAGCGAGAAACAGCGGAGAAAGATGCACGGCGTCAGCAAGAACTGTACAGTCAATTAAAGCTACAACAAACAGTACAAGAAAGACGTCGAGCTCATAATGCTAGACACAGTTCTGCTAATATGGATCCAAAACATCTCGGTTCGCAGATGCGCCTAAATGCTCTGCATTCGGGCGATGAGATAGAATGCGAAGATCCAGCCCTTGCCCGCGTTGGTTCAAAAGATTCAGTGGCTTCAGTCAGCTCGAAGACGAAGTCCGATGCCATTCCGTTGCGTGACGGAGAAAATCTAGGTTCAATGTTAGAAAGCAAACTTCGTGCCTGTCATTTGGAATCATCTAGGTTGAAGGACCAACTGGAGGAGATGTCTGTTCAATTGTACAAACGTGAAGAAGAGGTTGCTCAGTTGACTGAGCGCTTGCGACAACTCACCGACGACTTGGCTTCGACTGCCACACAGAGTGAATTAAGTGATCAAGCGGCAGACCAGGCACGCACTGCCTTGACACAGTGGTAAACCGAGTTGGCAACACTCGTTGGTCGACTTATTTGGGCGCGAACGATAAATCGAAAGAGTTTGGATGAATTCTCTCACAAGTCGAACA